ACACACACACACACACACACACACACACACACACACACCATGGCATACACACTGAAGTAAAGACTAACCACCTTTAATCCCAGCACTGGGGAGGCAGAGTAGGCAGATCTCTGAATTCAAGGCCGGGCTAGTCTACAGAGCAAGTTCTAGGACAGCCAGGTCTACACAGAAAACCCTGTCTCAACAAAAAACAAAAACGATAGAACTAAATAAATAACCTAACAAGTGAAGAAATACTTTTCTTAGTCCCTACTATGATTCATGCAGCAAATAATGCTGGTGATGTTAAAGGCCAGCATAATTTCCATAGATATGTTCTTTTAACTTTTAGTTCTGCTTTGTACCTTGTGTTTTGGGTCCTCTTGAGACCTCAGAAGAACAATCCTCAAGAAATTTGAGGAGCTCTGTTTTTCTTGGTAGAACATAGGTTTTTTTTTTTTTTTACTGTTTTTCTTTTCTTGGGATTTGCTTATAAATTATTAAACTTTAAAATATTATGAGCCAGATAAAGTGGCTCATGCTTTTAATCCCTACTTTTGTGAAGCTAAAGCTAGAGGATTATCATGAATTCAAGCCAAGACTGGATAATGTAGTGAGATCCTGTTTCATACAGTAAAGAAGGAATATTTTGGGCAAGTGGGTAAAGATGTCCAGACTCATTACTATGAATGATAGTGGTTGATTTAATGTAAAATTTTGTTGCTGTTATTTTTCTTGTTTTAATATTCTGTCCTTTTGCTCATACTTTTGGGGAGCACCTCTTAGGATAACCTCTTTTCTTTACTATCTGATTATATAGTTATGTATGTGCATTGGTGTTTTACCTATGTGTATGCCTGTGTAAGTATTTCTGATACCCTGGAACTGTAGTCATAGTGAGCCACCATGTGGGTGCTTGTAATTGTCCTCTGTAAGAGCAGTCAGTGCTCTTAACTGCTGAGCCATTTCTCCAGTCCCTGCTATCAGAGTTTTGTCTTACCTGAGCTATCAGGTACCTCAGATGCTGTCAGTTCCTTCCAAAAAAACTTTTGTTAGTATTTCATTCTACAAAGGTAGCAGTGCTATAAAATATATTAAAATAGACTGCTTAAATTTAGATAAATAAACAATAATTCTGAAATTCTGAGTAGTTAATAATTTTTAAGTAAGTGCCCCAATTTTATTTAAGATTTATTTTATCTATGAGTGTTCTGTCTCCATGTACAACTTTATGCCAGAAGAGGGCATCAGATCCCACTAGATGCTTGTGAGGCCATTGTGCTTGCTGGGAAGAACTCAGAATCTCTGGAAGCACAGCCAGTGCTCTTAACCTCTGAGCCATCTCTCCAACCCTATGTGTTTAATTTTCTTAAATTATTCCTTGACATCACTGTATACTGAGGGTTGGGAATGTAGTTCAGTAGTATAGCACTTAGCAGATACGTGTACCTGAGTTTAATACCTAGTACTGCAAGAGATGGGGAGGAGGTTGAAGAGAGAGGGAAAAGGAAGAGGAGGAGGAGGTGGTGGTAAAATTAGACAGACACTACCAAACAGAGTCAGAGATGATTGTGATTCCTTTAAAGGAATATGTATCAAACTGCGTATGGTAGTGCAGAGGCATAAAGATTATTATTTGGGGACAGCCTGTAGTCCATAACAACATGTAGACTCAATAAATAAAGCAGTGATTATCAAATTATGGTTTTTCCGACCAGCTCTATTAGTATTGTGTGTGGGCTTGTTAGAAATGCACATTCAGAGCCAGGTGTAATGGCTTTTTGCCAATAATTTCAGCAATTGGGAAGCTGGCACTGGAGGATTACTATGAATTTAAGGCTAGTCCAGGCGAGTTCTTAGGCCTGCCTGGGTTTTAAGTGAGACCCTATCTCAAAAAGAAAAGAAAGATAAATACAGATTTAGGAGCTCAGAAGTAGGGGTTGCAGAATGCTTGCCAAGTATGTGTGAGGCCCTGTGTTTAGTCCCCAGCACTGTGGGTGGAAAAGTATAGATTCATGAACTAAAACCTGTTACTGGATTCATGATTTATGAGAATGAAGCATAGGAAAGTTTTTTGTTGTTGCTTTTTTGTTTGTTTGTTTTTATGTGGTGTTAGGGATCAAACTTAGGGCCTTAGGGTTGCATGTTCTCTGCCACTTAGCTGATTTCTCCAATTTTTGGTACTTTGAGATAGGATCTCACCCTGAGGCCCAAGCTGGCCATGAACCTTGAACCCCTTGCCGCTAATGCCAGGATTAGAAGTATGTGCCATCATGCCTGGCCTTACTATCTCTTAGTCTAGAACAGACCATTTCTTTTTTTTTCTCCCTTTCCATCATTAGGTATTACTTTAGCAGGTAGGAGACACAGATGTCTAGTACCAAGTAAATATTTAAGCTGGCTGGTGGTGGCGCACACCTTTAATTCCCAGCACTGGGAGACAGAGGCAGGCGGATCGCTGTGAGTATGTGTGAGGCCAGCCTGGTCTACAGAGCGAGACCCAGGAAAGGCCCAAAGCTACACAGAGAGACCCTCTTTTGAAAAACCAAATAAATAAATGAATGAATGAATAAATAAATAAAAATAAAAAAATTGAAAGGCCAAGTGTGATGTTGCACACCTTTAATCTCAGCATAAGGATGCAGAGAGGGTAGAGCTCCAAATTCAAGGCCAGCATAGTCTACACAGTGAGGTTGAGGCCAGCCAGGGCTATGTGGTAAATTCCTGCCTTAAAATAAAAAATAATAAAAAAAACAAATAATTAAAACCATTGTGGGAGATATTTACCTATAGTCACAGTTCTTGACAGGGTTCAGGTGAGGTGATTGCTTAAGTCTAGGAGCAGGAGACCGAACTGGGTAATGTATGTAGACTCCATGGTAAAAACGAAAATAAAAAAATTAGAAATCAAATTTAAAAAATGCAATAATAGCATATGTCATTACAAACTTTTTCAGGAGAAGTACAACTTGGGAGGGTAACCTTTAACTTTAGAAATACCAGGCATTAAAACTATTTTTTATAATTCTTTTAGGTGTTCAATTGACACTTAAGTTTACAAGCGTCGTTTGAGAGCTACTCCTTTTACTTATGTAAATAATTGTTTGTTTGTTTTACAGTGGGCAAATCAAACTAGCAGATTTTGGACTTGCTCGGCTCTATAACTCCGAAGAAAGGTGAGGCATTCATCAAAACTACATGTGGGAAAGTTTTACTTGTATCCCATGATTCAAGGCCAACTTTGGCATGGCAAGAGCATTCTCTCAAAAAAAAAAGTAAAACTGAGTGTGGGGATTAGAGAGGAAACCTTTTAATTTTCTGATACTCTAACATTCTACAAATTACAGTGACTTTTAGAGCTCCTTAAATATTTGAATGTTGTTACCACCTAGATGTATTTTGTTTATTTGCTTGTTTTTTTGTTTGTTTTTGAGACAGGGTTTCTTTATGTTACACTCATGTCCTAGAATTCATCAGGCTAGCCTTGAACTCAAAAATACACCTGTAGTCTGTCTGCAGAGTGCTGGAATTAAAGAGTGGGCCACCATGCCCAGCCTTCACTGTTTTTTTAATTTATTTATTTATATGTATACAGTGCGCTGTCAGCATGTATGCTTACACGCCAGAAGAGGGCACCAGATCTTACTACAGATGGTTGTGAGCCACCATGTGGTTGCTGGGGTATTGAACTCAGGACCTTTGGAAGAACAGAGTCCTCTCTCCAGCCCCTTCATTTTTTAAAAAAGACTGTGTGTGTGTGTGTGTGTGTGTGTATATGTATTGCTTTCATACACTTAACTGAAAAGGTATCAAATCCCACTGAAATTTGAGTTGTGTGTGTCATGTGTGTTTGTGTTTGTGTACATTTATGTCTTGAGTGTCTTCCACGTTTGCGGATGCTGGCATTATACACATTTGCCACCATGCCATGCAGCTCTTAGACACTGTCTGAATTCTTCAATCAGCCCTTCACTGAAATAAGTTAACACAAATTGGACTACAAGTTTAGTTACATATTTTCCATCAAAAGCCATTGTACATTTACAACCTGATGGTTTTATATTTCAGTCGCCCTTACACAAATAAAGTTATTACTCTGTGGTATCGACCTCCAGAACTGCTGCTGGGAGAGGAAAGATATACACCAGCCATTGATGTTTGGAGCTGTGGGTAAGACTCTTAACCTTTTGTTTTGTCTGTAACTCACATAGTATTAGCATATACTGTTCTGTCTCTTTATTAGCCATTTGTCTTTCTTCCTAAGTGTATGCACACTTACACGCATACATAAATATAGATAGAAATTTTATTTTTTTAAAAAAGGAAACCACTTAGCAACTTACTTCATTGGCCCAGTCTTTCCTGAATCTGGTAATGCTTCTGTCTCAGCCCCCAGTTAGCTGGGAAAAGAAGCATATATCACTATGCCCAGCTTAGCTCAAGTCTTTTAATTAACATTCCCTTTCCATCTCTCTTGATTTTCATTTGTTTCCTTAACAGTTTCTTTAGGGAAAGCTGGATCATCTATTCTATAGACTTCTCGTAGTCTGGGTTTTTGTTGTCACTATCACAAAAAACAAAAACAATGCTAGGAATGGGATTATATAGCTCAATGACTTGCCTGCCTAATATAGTATGTGAAATCCTGTGTTTACTCTTCAGTATTGCAAAAGGCTAGTTATTTCATTTTGTTTTCTAGTTTTCATAGTAGTAAGGTGGTTTTTCTACTGTCCTGAAAAAATAACCAGTGAGAAGATTTGATTTATTTGTTTTCTTGTTTATTAGGTTCATTAGGAACTGGTAGACTTACATGTTTGATGTAATAATTGTACTCTTTTTTAAAAATACATATTTGATTTGTGTATGTGTGTAAGAGGGAGAGAGAAGAGAATGAAAAGGAGAGAATAGGACAGAGCGGTGCGAGCATATGCCAAGTTTGTGGGAGTGCCCACATAACCCAGGAAAGGGTGTCCAATCCGCTGGAGCTAGGTAGGCAGTTGTGAGCGTCCTGACATGGTGCTGGGAACCAAACTCTGGTTATCTTCAAGTAAAGCAAGTAGTCTTGATATTCTATCCATCTCTCCCTTCTTTACTGTATTAATTCTTGTTCAAACTTCCTAATCTTAGTCTAGTCTAAATTTGATCGGGTTAGTTGTTGAGTTGTCTTCCTTGTTTTTTTTTTTTTTTTTTTTTTGTTGTTGTTGTTTTTGTTGTTGTTGTTCTAGCTTTATATCTCTTAAGGAGTGTTCTTTTTATCTGTTTCCTCCCACTCCCTTCTCTTTTCTTCCTTCCTTTTGATTTTCTACTCAGGGTCTCTCTAACCCTGGTTATGTTGGTTTACTATATAGACTAGTCTGGCTTCATATTTGTGGCAGTTTTCCTACCTTTTCCTCCCAAATGCTGGGGTTGTAAGTGTGCACCAACACAGATACTCTGAAAAAATTTTTCTTTTAAGATGTCACATTTAGCCCAGATTATCAACAAACTCACTGTATAGCCCAAGAAGTCCTTCAATTCCTAATTCATCTGCATCCAACTGCTAAGTGTTGGGATTGCAGATATATGTACCATTTCTGGCTTGAAAATGGAATTTAAAAGCTACATTTTTTATGTTAAGGATCAGTGTTTTTATTTTTATTTATTCTTTTGAGACAGGGTCCTGATAGGTATCTCTGGCTGGATGGGAAGTTCCTTGAAGTTCTCAGGGCTCTACCTGACTCAGCCTCCCTCTCCCCTCAGGTGCTTAAAGGCATGTACCACCATGCAAGGGTCCTAAATATTTTAAATGGTTCACATTTGTGATTTGTATGTGGTGTGGCCCCCTGCTGTCACCTTTTGTTGGTTATGAGTGCCACATACTTACTTCCTAAAATAGTGTGTCATCTTTCCCATTTCCCCCCTTCCTCTATTGTAAGTTTTAAAGAGGAGTGCTGTGGTTCTTATTTTTAAAATTCAACAAAATGGTAGCCTGCCTTAATCAAATGATGCTTTAGTTTAAATGACTGAAACTGGGTATATTTATATTCAAAAGTACTATCTCGTTTTATTATAGCTAAACTAGAAAGTTAACTCATTAAGGTGAATAAGGAAGAGCTAGGTGCAGGAAAATTGAGTTCAGAGTCATCCTTGAAGCCAACCTGGGCTACATGAGAGACTCTATTTCAAAAAACAAAACAAAAGGAAAAACAAGATGCATGGGCAGAATTTATAGTTGTATTGGTGGGCTTTTTACAGTCTGTGCAACCTGCTTGCTTACTGTGATGACTAAAATGTTGATTACATATTAAAGAAGTCTTTCACACCAAAGGACTGGAAACAAACCAAAGAGAACTCTGAAGCGGAGCCAGTGTGGTGGCACATAGTTGTCTTTTTAGCACTTAAATATACAAATCTGGGTAGATAATAAGAAAAACTAGTTTAACAAATTATATGAAGCAATTGACAAGTGGAGTCAGGACGATTAAGAGTTCAAGATATAGCTGGGTAGTTGTGGTGCTCACCTTTAATCCCAGAACCCAGGAAGCAGAGGCAAATGGAACTCTGAATTCGAGGCCAGCCTGGTCTACAGAATGAGTTCTAGGACTGCCGGAGCTATATAGAAAAAACCCTATCTGGAACTTGTGTGTTCCCCCCCCCCATTCAGGGTCTTCTATTTTACTAGTTGGTTTAAAACTGTGTTTAGAAGTTAATTTGACAGTTAATATTGGAAACAAGCTTTATTTATTCTTATTCTATTGCTGACTAAAGTTTGAAAGAATTAGTTACCAGCCAGTCAAATTAGGGAAGACACTAGAAAAGCTAATAAAGCAAATTATAGGAGAAGTAAAAATTTGGCCATTTTAGGTTAAAAATGCTAATAAAGTGAGTCATAGTGATGCAGGCCTTTAATCTTAGCACTTGAGAGGCAGAAGCAAGTGGATCTCTGATTGAGGCCAGCCTGATCTGTATAGCAAGTTCTAAGCCAGCCAGGTATACATTGTGAGGCCCTTTCTCAAAGAAAAGAAGAAAGAATAAGAGAAAGAGGAAGAAGGGGCCTGGCAGTGGTGGTGGTGGTGGTGGTGGTGGTGGTGGTGG